AACGTGATAGACACTTTTACTTGATTAACGTTCAAACATCAGCTATTATTCAATGAACATAAAAAAATAATAATAATAAGCAAGATAAAACACACATCGTGCAGCTCTTCTACCAGGAGTTGATTCAAAATTGTGCTCGCGCGATTAGAATGTGCGCGTCCGGTGTGGGATACCTGGAGTTGTCCTAGACGTGGCGCGACGCGGCGCTGCGCTTCTCGTCCGGTGTGCGACCCACTTTACTGTATCTTAATGCCTTAATTAAAAAAACGAGGAAAACTCCAACCTTTAAACACATCAATTTTCTTTGTGAATGAATAATGTATCGTAAATAAATACATGTTCTTCCTTACACCCACAGGGTGAATAAGTCAGGACACCCCTATGTTAAATTCCCATAGAGGCAGGCAGATTTTTATTTTTAAAGGCCAGTTATTTCATAGATCCAGGATACTATGATCCTGATAAAGTTCCCTTGGCCTTTGGAAATAAAATAGCCCCACATTATCACATACCCTTCACCATACCAAGAGATTGGCATGGTTTTATTTCAGTGAGCCTAATAGCTGGTTTGATTTGCATTGAGAGATGATCTTATAGATACCCCATGCCAATCTGTGGTGAAGGATATATGATGATGTGGGGCTATTTTAATAATTTATTCCTAAATTAATTAGATTCTCACCTTTGGTTATAAATCACAATTCGACATTTACTAAAGCTTTAGACTTACCTCAGTGTTGTTTTACACAGAAATCCTTTATCATCTGACTGTATCATCAGCAACCTTGCTTTGTTCTGTGCAACAAATATGAGTAATTTTGGTAAATTTTGGTAAATTAGGACTCTTTTGACATTGTGGTAACTTGTCAAAAGTAGTCCAGTTTACAGATTGTTGCTAATCAAAAAAAACATTTTAAAAGTGCACTATCTGCTAACAGCCACAAGGTGAAGACAAACACTAACAGAATTCAAGCAATAAAATGACAGTCCATTTTATATTTGATTGTCGTCCACATTTCAATGTATGTGAAATAAAAGTCTCCAAATGATGTCTGTTAAAAATAATACAAATAAAAGTTAAAATGCAGAAAATGTAGTAAGTAATAACAAAGGCCGTGGAAATCGTCTTCAAATACTTTTATTCATTCCGCCTATTTCTTGACAACACACATTTTGTTATATTTTTTTCGGAACGTTTCTCAGGGATCCCACAGTGCAACCAGCGCATGTAGGATGTGCACTGTACACAACATATACATACATTGCAGTAACACATGTATATACATTTTGTAAAGAACATTTTAAATAATAATAAAAAAAGCATTTTAAAACTCAATGTTGTAATTAAAATACATGTTAATTTTTTTCTTTCTTTCAATGTTTTGGGAGGGGGGGATAACCAGTGTTTTTCTACTTCAATGTTTTGCTCCTAACATTGACATGCCCTAAAAAAAACATCATATATGAATATCCATATCCAATTCACCTGGACCAGAACAGTCATGGTCATAGGAAAGCAACCATCCTGTCAGTGCACACAGGCTACAGTAAGAAATAATACTGTTCGCAGAACTTGCAAAATGCTGAAAGAAAACAACTGCAAAATGCTGAAAAATAATTTTTTAGGGCCTGAGCAATGTGGCAGAACTGCTGTGGCTTCCCAATGCTTGACATCTAAAGTCATTACACCGTCTAAATCACCTGTGCTTCAAAAAAACGTCCAAATAAAGGATCGTCTTTCAGCTAGAAAATACATTCTCATAGACGGTTCATGTGCAGTTTTTCAGTGATACTAACTTTACTTAAAAACACATTGCACGTTAAATACTGCATATTGGTTTGATGACTATGAGGATGAATACAGACATAAATTCTGTAGTCTGGATTGATTTTTAGGAACATAATCATAATGAAAAATAGACCATTCTTGAGAGCTAACTGATCCTTTAGCATAAAGCTGATCACTATGACCTGCAGATGTTATTTTTAGTCTAGTAATGTTTCCTAATTGCCCTTGTTGCTTAAAATAGGATAAGGGATCTGTCAATGAAGCCAACAGGGCAATGCATAGGCTCCAAAAGACACGTGTCCAGCATCTCACAGGACTGTGATCTAGCTCTAAGGACAAAATGACCATCTACATAAGATACAGTTGCCTTGAACAAATGGGACTGGTTCATAGTGACCAGATTAGACCAGTCCATCTGAGACAGTTTTACATCTGTCACATGTTCTGGACTAAGCCATCAGCTCTCTGTCTCTAGTATTTTCATCAGTTCATATATTGTTCTTAACAATGCCATACATGGGACTTAAAACAAGTTGACTCCATTGGAGATTCCATAGGAGAAACTAGGACTAGGACTTGAGTTGTATAATAAGTGTGGGGGACCCCCACCTGATATTTAAATATGCAAATCAGAACCCATCTTTAGACTGTGAAATTGCTGCTTAGAAATAGATCAATTCCAGTTCCAGTAAACACATTTCTAATTCTAGATTTTGGCCTTTTGGAACTATTCTTGATGGGAAACAGGATCAGGAAATAAAACAAGTCTTGAATCCGTGTCGCCGACACATGAGCACCAGAACTCAATATCACTAGAGGCCAATCCAACTAGAAAAACATTTCCCACTTGTGCGTGTGAGAGTTTGTATTAGAAAATCGCAACTTTGCATCTGGCACCTCAAGAGGTTACAGTCAATTTGAACTTTATCATGAGGTTGAACGTTTATTATATTGCCAAATGTTCAGATTGCTGCTCAGTTTCTTTTTGAAAATTCAAGCATAACCTGGATTTTTCACAGTTTAGTCTTAACAAACCCACTGCTGGTCTCTCTTTAGAATGCATCAAGAAAGAAAAAAAGTCTGTCCAACTCCACTACACTAATAAAGCCACGTTAAATACTTTCTCAAATCAATGTGCATCTCTCACCCGTCCAGCAGCTGGTTCAGCATCAAAACACAAGGACAACATACAACATGGAAAACAAAAATGATGAAGTGGCTTTAAAATCAAAGCTTGGCAATATGAAGTTGTTTACAGCTGCCCGCAGGATATAAATGAACCCTGGGGGAGAAAAGAAACACATTCATGTGACAATAACTCATTCACATTTGAATGGATGCTATTGGCTGGAGTGGACCTGCTGTAGTTAACCAGTAATATACCACAACCATTACTACACGAGAGGTTTGGTTGACCACAGGCTTGATGGCTGCATCCCAGTTCTCACACTACACCTCATAATAGTGCGCTGAGGTCTTTTTGTAGGCCAACCCAGAATTTGGCATTACCCTGGTTGCCTTGACAAAAAAAAGAAAAAAAAAAAGGATTTTTCAATTGGCAATTTTAGCTCTGACCAACAAAAATGTATGATTCTTAAGTTACATGCCAATCTTCATAAATGAACCACTTTTAGACATTTTGAAGTCTAAATACAATCGGCAAAAGTAAAAATCTAATGTTAGGCTAAAAATGAACTACACCACAGTCACATGACTTCAACGTCATCATCACTAAGCTTCCGACAACTCTTGCAGCCTTTACTTAGAAATGTTAAGATTAGCCTTCATGTTCGATGTGATGATGTTGACATCCCGACAACCGTTTGTAGTCCCATTAAGCCACTTGTTAGCCACCGACTTCTTTAAGACAAGTAAAAGCTTTAAACAAAACTCACAAGGGGATATTACTGATGTATCTTTTGTTGTAGAATAAAATGTGAAAATATCTTGAGCTTGAGTTTAACCCAAAACCCATTGATGGAGCTGAAAGTGCTAAAATGCTAACTTGTTTCCAGGTTTGCCTACAAAAATATGCCACTGATGCACTACACTATTAGCATAGATGCCGCATATCATTGATCAGCCAAACAAATAGTCCCGCCCCAAACTCTAGCCGTTGGTTGCCGTGCCAAGCTGGTTGAGATGTTTTGATAGCACCACAGAGCCACAGTATTTTACTTTTCAGGCAAATAATCCTTTGGATTTCTTGACTCTTCACATTAAAAGAGCAAAGATGACTGAAAAATCACCTTTCAAATAATAATGTCCTGAATTTTGCATCCATACCAACTTGTGCACAACAACAGCGCATGTAAGAGTGATTCGAGTGCTTGAATAGAAAGGCCCACACCTGCCAAACACATCCATCCGCGCTCACGGTAAAAGGAGTATACTTTGAAAAGCTTGTACGCTCAACTGTGCGCAAGATGGAGTGGAACATGGAACATTAAGTCTACCTGGGCCTTAACCATGTCCTAACTAATATGTCTAAAAGTATTTTTATTGTGTAGTAGTATGAACACTGGAATGCAGCCGATGACGCTCAGTAGATGATTCTACCGTGGCTCTTTTGCCAACGCAAATCAATCAATCAGAGGAAGTCATTTCGAACAGAGGAGGATAAACCAATTGCATATAGTTGATGTACCATGGCGCAAGCTATCAAGGAACCAGCCTTGATTCTCCATGGAAGCCTGTTACAAATGAACTCTGGCAACAAATATAGCTCCACATAGAAATAATATATTTTCATGTCTATCATAATATCATTCAATTCCATATTTTGTTTTTATAAATAAATTTGTACATATCCACATAACACTTGTTGATAGTAACTCCATATTTTCTTTATCTGGTCCCAGACTCCAAAAGGTTTAAAAAAAGGATGCTCAAGTTTTCCGAGTGTTTAAACCAGAGAGTCGGTGTCTGTTTTTGCAGTGACAGTTGAGTTGTTTTAGCCCTGGGTGAACAGACCGATTTCACCATCATTCCTCCGAAACTGCTTTTCGGCTCTTAAGACGGAGAATTGAAAGTACTGGGTTTCCTTCAGCGTCTGCCGTCAGAAAGGCCTCACAGTGCTGTAGCCAGACTGCGAGTGTGAGAACCGTTCAGTCAGTGCCGCCCACTTACAATGCCCCGCCCCCATCCAAGCTCATCTGATCGCTTACGTGTGGAGATGTTCATTACATTCGCTGAACCGGGACTCTGTTCGTCAGTGATAGCGACTTCTCCTTTCTTCACTGTCTGAATCATAGTCTTTTAACCCGATACCTTTCTGTAGTTTCATTAGAGACTCTCTCATCTGTAAACACACAAATGTATCATTGAAATCCTGCAGTGATTGCAGTTCAAAGGAATAGTTCACCCAAAAGATTTGGAATATAATCATACGAACCAATTTCATGCATGACCCTTTTCAAGAGCAACAAGTAAAGTTCTTTTCTCCTTTTGTGTTCCACTAAAGAAAGCAAGTCATATGGATTTACAATGACATGAAAATGAGTAAATGATGACAGAATTTTCATTTTGGTTGAACTATCCCTTTGAGTTCCTTTCTTCATTATAGAGTGGTGCAGTGATGACATCATGAACCCGGAAGACTAATGGTGGTTTGTAGATTTTTCTATGGGGTTTTTCAATTTATGAGTAAACTAAAGCCTATGGTAAACATACTGTAACTTGACGATACTTGCCATTTTGTTCTACAACATAAATTAGACACACTCACACCCCAAACTGTCTTATCTAGTTACTTATTAGAAATATAGACTTCAAAATGTGCGTTTTCGCAATGGGTGTGAGTAATTTACATTGTAGAACAAAATGTCAAAGCATCGTCAAGTTATATACCACAGGCATCCTATAGGAAAATCTCAAGGGAACCAGTGACGAATTAGTCTTCCAGATTTTGACATCATCCCTGGGCCACTCTATTGTTTAATACTGTTTATTATTTCTTAATATGATACATAGAATAAAATGCAAACATTTTTCAAACTTGTACTGTACTTGATCATACCTCATCTAACAACAGCACAGATGACTTTATTATTTCCCTCCATTTCTCCAGCTCGTTTTCATGGTAACGCTGCATAGACTCCAAAAGTTGAGCCCATTCAATCTGTGTTTGAGGAAGTTTACTGCAACACACACACACACACACACACACACACACACACACACACACACACACACACACACACACACACACACACACACACAAGGTGTGAAAAAAATTCCTCATGCAAATATTCATGTGTTCATATGCAGCAAAAATCAGTCTATTAATCAGTATTTCTTTTCAGACTGGAAACGCTGCATAGACTCCAAAAGTTGAGCCCATTCAATCTGTGTTTGAGGAAGTTTACTGCAACACACACACACACACACACACACACACACACACACACAAGGTGTGTGTGTGAGTCTATGCACATTTTTTTCATTTATCAATTATATATTTTTTTCAATTATATATTGAATTAGGTTTATTTTTCTTGCCACATTGGCATTTTTTTCTAGCGTAAACCTCACTACAGATTTGTGTGTAAAACAAGGAAAAAACAACTGGGCAATGATTTAAGAAAAAATAAACTTCCATCTTATGCAATACTGCTTGTTGTAAGTGTAAGTGTACATTTTTACCTAAAAACTAACCAAAAATACATATTAATAAAAATATTTTTTTTACAGTGTGCTAACAGTTACGTGCCAACGTTTTACATTTCATTTAGGTGTTTTGAAATAACAAATTAACACATTCAAGGGTCTAGTTACCTTTCCGGAGACCTGAGACCCTGCCATGAGGTCAAACTCTGGGCTGTGTATTCCAGCATCCATAGCTTATAAAACAGCATCATGTTTAAAAAGACCAGCAGCACCAGACTGAGGAACAGAAGAGAACAAACCCAGATCAGCTCATGAACCGCTCTATATCGGCTACATCAAATAAATCACAGCAGCTGAAAATGTTTCGACAGCATTTATACGTTCACACAGATGAAAACATTGAATACCTTACACAAATCCTGCAGGATGCGATGAAAACAGGAGAGAGAAAAGACATGAAGCCAAAGAACAACAGACCATAATGAATTCATGCTGACCAACAATGTGAGTAACTTGAACAGTAACTCTAAAACATCCTCTAATAATGTAACATAGTGTGAGTGACTGACAAAGTTAGAAGATTGAAAACAGACCAAAGTAGACACTGAATGAAGCATGCAGTGAGGACATTAAAGTGGCATATTCTACACTTTTGTGCCATGTTAGAAAATGTAAACATCTAATAATTTTATTTCAAGAAATGATCTGCATGTGTCAATCTGGGTTTGCTAAAATGAGCAATTTGGGAGAAAAGAAGTGGAGAAGATAAGCTTAATATTGCTGTTTTATTCCTGTGATGTCTTGGTTTTTATTTCTCATTGAGAATACCCACACAGAGCTGATGATGAGCAGGAGTTTGGAAACGCTGTAGAGAGCCAGGCCTTCAGATCCGTGGTCCGGGATGTGTCTGGTCTGTGTGGATCCTGCGGCAGCAGATACATTATACTCAATGAACACAGAGGAAAACACCTAAAAATACAACCAAAACTATATTCCTGCCCATGTACAGTTCATCAAAGTATCTCAGGAGGAGAGTTGGCTGATGTCACACCTGCCACATGTTTGATGCGACGGATGACACTCTTCTCATCCTCAGGTGTGGT